TTCTTCCCTCTAGCCATTAACTCCCTAAACAGTCACTGACGTAGTCACTCTTCTTGTACAACAAATACTGCTACTGGTCACTCTAAAATGGTTCAATGATTTTCTGCACCAACTATACAACTGTCATAGTATTGCATTGTATTCTACCACTGATCACTTTAGCTCTGCTTGATACTTTGCACATTGTCTCACAGTTGTCGCTGGGTGGTACCACCGCACTACGGTGAACTACGGTTCACTTTACGAAATCTCCTTCCATACCTATTTGTCATGTCCTTGTTTATGATGATACTAATGCAGCGTGTTATACGGAGACAAATTCCTTGTGTGTTCTACATACTTGGCCAATAAAGATGATTCTGATTCTGATTCTGAAAGTCATTCAACTGAAAATTATTCTTTATCAATTGCCTGCTTACTATATTCAAATATTATGTTTATGACTACACTTTTTGGTTAATTCAGCCAACTTCCTCATGGAAAACAAGAAGCTTGTGCTCATTTTTGCATTACGGTTAATGCGCTCTGGATACATTATAATTGCAAGAATCAGGAAGATATTTTGCAGACTTTTACTGTGCAGCTCACAGTGATATAGGAGGCTGCCAAACAGGAACTATGACACAACCAAAACAGTGATGAGAATGGCACGCGTGCTTTGCAAGTTTACGTGCATTTTAGGCAGAAAAAAAGAGCAGCGCTGGCCTCAGTACATAGACCACGCAACAGCTATAAAACACAAATAGAATTACACTTGAAAGTATATAGTGGTCATAAAAAAATATTTTCTTTTGTAAATATTGTCATTTTATATTAGGGCTGCCAAGTTCACATCTATTGCCCCGACCCCTTCCTGTCATTTTTCGCGCTGCCTTGTGGTTTTGTTTTGTTTTTCCCCGAGCACCAGCTAGAGAGTTGGGCGTGACTATTCAGCGGTGCAGCTGTCTCTCGACGTGCTATCGAGCGCCTGTGCCACGAACTGCCAAGATGAGATCGAGCCTCCTTGTCGGATTCTCGCTCTTGCTCGCCATTATTGTCGAAGTGCCGTTTTCGAGACTCCTTCCTCTTGTTCGTAGTCGTTTACTTGACATAGTTTTGGTTTTTTTGTACGTGTTTATCCTGTCGCTGTATCGCGACTCTTTTGGTTTTCTTGCTCGTGTAATTGAACTTTTTTCATTCCGTTTAGTGTTTGTAGTTTTACCTTGCTTTTTGTTCCGCGATTAGCTTTTCCCGTTTTTTTTTTTTTTTGCCGCGAGTGATTTTTACGTTTTCGGTATCTCGCTTTTCTATCAATATTTTTTTTGTTCGCGTCATTTACCCAAATCTGCGTTTGTGGTATTCCACTTCCGACTGGTCTGTGTTCGAACCGTATCACCCTCACATGCACTTGTTTATCTTTTTCGTTCTATTGTGCGTTTAAACCCGTGTTTTCTGGTTGTTATTCTGAATAAAACGGAGTGTCGTTTTGTCATGTTGTTTTGAATTGGTGTCAATACAACAGTTCATCCACACTTTAATGTGAATTTGCTGCGGGAACTGTGGACCAAAACTGAACGGCAGACCAGAATTTTGGACAGCCTTGTATTCAGAAAAGTTTGCTGAACAAATTAGTTTAACTGATAAACGCAGGCGTCATTTACTTTTGTTTCATCATAATATTCACCAAGCGAGCATATGTCTGGATAAACTGATCAGAGTCCACCATTAATTATTTGGGTGATAAATTGATTAATCGGCTGAAAAAAAAAAACGTTTTCATTTTTAAAGTCGGTTTATTTTGTATTGCATTCTGAGTATGTGAATTAATTATACAAATCATGCTTATTTGATATCATCTATTTATTAATTTGCCATTTATTCCATGCATAATTTGCTACTAAATCTTTTACATCGCTAATTCAATGAAATTGGTGTCAATGTCTGCATGAGAAAGCCATTCCTGATTCAAGTGGGTCGACAGGATCATGTTGATAGCAGAAACGAAAAACATGCCTTATGTGCGATGTTCATGACAATGTAGATTTTCCCATGCTGAAGTGTAATAAGTAAGGGTTAATTTAAGTTTAATAGTTAAGTCAACAAATTGTAGTTCCATAAGCAACCCAGTCAGCAAAGCATCGGGCCAGATGCCTTTGCTGACTGGGAAGCAAAATGTACTACGCTTTTATTCACAAAGCGTAGTATTTACCGTGCTATTCCAGTGCCGTTTTATAATTATGTGATTGTAATGTTATCGAACCCAGTTATTTTCTTGGAGTTGTCTAGATTTGCATTTGAATAGCATTTGAAGACCTCTTTGAGAACCATTTCGTTAAAAGTTGGATCGTCCCCAAATTAATTGCTCTCAATTGCTTAGTAAATATTTCCCTAGAATGCCCCCCCCACTCCAAAATATATTTTTTTCTTCATGGAACAACATATTGAAAAAAATAATAATTTCACAAAACAGAGTTGTTCCTTTTGTTTCTGAGTATACACACTAGTATTTTATTTTCTATTTTTTCCAATTAGTTGACAGTTAACGTCATCTTTAAAATAAAGCTTGGCTTCCATTTTTCACATTTCTAAAAAGTATGTAGGATCTTTGTGTTGTTCTGTCAGTTTTTGCGATCACATGCTACAATATTTATCAAAGTAAAATATTACACTTTTCAAATACTTCCATCGACAGTGTTTAGGAATTCATACTATTACTTGGAATAACTACGCAGCTGTGTTGTGCTGTGTTTGTTAGTCAGGCATATGTGACTTAAATAATACTCAAATAATTAAGTAAAATTTTTAAGCACCAAGAATCAATAAGAATTTATGAGAAAAACAAATTCACACTTACAAGAATGAGGAAGATGCTTGCTGCCTCTGGCTCACAGTTATGCCGAAGACTCCCTGACAGGAAGTATGAGTCAACCACTGAGTGGAAGAGAATACAGCAACTTCTCTTCGTAGCAACGCCTTAGCACAGTGGTTCTCAATTATTTTCATTTTCTACCCCCCCCCCCAAGAAGAAGAAAACATCTCGCCCCCCCCCCTTGTGACTACAAATACCTGTATCATTTGTCTATAAAATTGTTGTAAGTAAAACTCTGCATAACACTGTATCCTTATTAACGCATAAGAGAATAAAAAAAGAAATATGGACCAACTTGCAACAAAGAATAGCTTTATTAACTATAACAGAAAAGAGTTAAAGTGCATCTGAAATTCAAATGTAAAATTAAATCCTTAATTTAACTCTAAATATTTTTTGACTGACCATGTCAAACCATACGACACAGAAAAATAAAATTACGTAAAATCAATAACTAATAATGCATTCAAACTAATCACCAACATTATCTCAGCAGCACAATATTAAATCAACTTTAACCAGCTAAAAAAATATACATAAAATAATTTGTGCTGATTTTTTTTTTAAATCAAAGATGATGTCTGGATTAATGGCTACAAGTAGCAGTCACAAAACGGGATGATTGTTGGCAATATTCGGCACGTTTTCTCAGAAAAAAAAACTCTTATCAACGAGATTGGGGTGTAATGTCTAAGTGACGCCTTAATTCATTTGGCTTCATGCTGTCCGATGTCTTTCCTCCCACTGTAGTCACAGTGAAGCCAAGAGCTACATACGCTTCGTCATTATTATTATTTACTCATCTTCGCTTTCGGTAGACCTATTTCCTCCGTCTCTCTCTCTCCGTCCGTCGACTTCATGTCTACACTTCAAGCTCATACTCTGTGCGGGGTGCAAAGCGCGCATGCTCAGTGCGAACGAAACACCGAGCGAATGCTCACAGCGCACTCTGCCAAGGTGAGCGCCACTGCCCCCTAATGTAGTCGAGGTGCAATTGCACTTTATTCTAGGACAGTAAAAAAAAAATCAAAATAAAAAAGCATGTTCCCCGAGGCCAAACGGGCCCCCCCTGACGGGGACTCGCGCCCCCCCCCCAAGGTATAACATCTCTTTTTCAAAAGTATCCTCGCTCAGAGGCAGCCGAAAATTAAAAAAAAAAATTGTATCATGTTGAGCTGTGTTTCTCACACAATAAAATTAGAAAGTTCAGCCTTTTTTTCATATGAATTTTTACACAATAGAAAAATAAGTGTTCCTCAGACAGAAATGATCAGCATAACCAACCGCTGCACATAATACAGTACAGTGGCGAAACAGACGAGTCTCCGAATGACTCTTATGTGGAGTGCCGAGTCCCTCTGCTGGACGAATTAAGCACTACATCAGAAAACAGCTGCCATGGGCTTCTTTTTGCACAAAGTATTGCAATCTCCCAATGTGTTCTCTGTCGGTGGAAAACAGGATTCGACAGGGTCCCGTAACCGCCACAACGGAGTACATCTTTCTTATGATAGGTATGTCTTTACTGACCTGAACTGAGGCCAGCGAGTTCTGGACTTCTTTAGAATTTGTTGTAGGTTCTTTTACAACCTCCTGGATGAGTCGTCGTTGCACTCTTGGGAGTAATTTTAGCTGATCGACCACTATTGTGAATATTTGTCACTATTGCCAGTTTTCTCTATTTGTGGATAATAGCTCTGAGATCTTGTAGCCTACTTGACTTTGTTTGACAGATTCTAGTAATGTGATTTCTTGATTCAACAAATGTGGTGCCTGTGAAATTGAACTCAGCTTTCCCATAACTGTCGTTACTCACAGTTTACTTTGTGATTTAACAAGGGGGGAGGGCGGGAATTACTTTTTCACATTCAGCCAAATAGTTTTACTTACCAAGGGGTAAAATAATATGAAAACCTATCATTTTGAAACTGCGTTTTATATTTTCTTGGGTGGTCTCTGTGTGATATTAAAATTGGTTTGATGAACTGAACCCTTTGTGCGTGATAAATATGTAAAGAACACTTTTTCACAGCACTGTATGACAGAAAGGACAAAATATTCAAAACAACTTTAAATATTAGAGTACCAAAATAAGGGGAAAGACAGTTTTAGTTTGAGATTTTATTATGAAAAAGTAATATATAGGCTTTTTGTAGTTTTCACATATGCATTCCATATGGTCCACCAAATATTCCTTTCAACACACAGACTATAGATAGATATATATCCAAGGACATTTTGACTGCATGAAAGCATTTAGCTTTTTGTTTAAAAGCCCTGGAAATCCTTCATGGTAAGGCGGCTGGGTGGTGCATTGGTAAATATTGTTCCTACAAAGGCATGTGCCCCCCACAAAGGATGTCGAATAACTCGACAGCAACCCAAATCTTCAATCTGAAAGCCGAGAAGACGGTACCTGTCGTCTGTCTCGAACAATGTGTTGTTTGTGTAAGGTCCAAAAAACTGGGGAGAAAAATAACAAGCGAGTGAATTAAATGACATAGGGAAACTGCATATATAAGAAGACTCGTATTATGCTTGACAAATATACATGCATAAATATTAAAAGTGTTATAAAGTGGTATGCCATCCAGAAAAACTGTCAAATCCAGCAAGATTACATGAATTCTCCCTTACAAATCTGGACCTCAATAACACCTGTGTAATGTAAAAATTAACAAACAAAACCATTTTTTAATGCATCACATCTAATTGAAAATAAAAAAACACTCCACATTTATAAATACATATAGCACATAGATTGGGCAGGTAGGGGATGGGAACACCTGCGGTGCTGAAGTGCAGTTCAGTGTGGCTCCAGAGTGTGCCCTGGAGCCACACTTTACAAACAAATGTAAAGCCAAGAGATGATGGATTACATTGTTTTGATCGATATTGTAATCACGATTCGTAATCACAATTATTCATTTCGCCATCGAAAATTAGCGTCATTGTAGCCCCAGTCATTATTGACGGGGCCGCTCCGTTACACAACATTGGTGTTCACTTTCCATTTCATTCTTTTTTTGGAGCTGCATTTTTCTTTGCCACTCCGTCAACCAAATGTTCCAAATAAAGGTTTAAAAGTTAGATGAGGAGAATATGAGAATACAAAATGCAAATACAGCGCAGGTTGTTTGATTTATTTTGATGCGTTGTGTACATTGTTGTGCGCTGAGACAGTGAGAGCAGTGCGCAATTGCTCACGCGCGCAGGTTAGAGGAAACATTGTTCCGAGCACTGAAATACTTGAGGGCCTAAATGCTTGTTTTGTTTTGTTTTTTAAACAGAGTCTTACCGCCAGGCCTGAAGACGGATCTATGAAGTCTGCCCAGAATCCTTCTCTTTGCAGAATGAAGCAGATCTCCTTGGCTCCATCTACAAACTACAGAGGTTGCAGTTTAGTAACATGAATTTGCTTGAGTAACCTGCCCATCAGATGAGGTGGAAGTGCGTTCGGGCTCGTGCATGTCAGTGAGCGGCGCGACTTTGGTCAGACAAGGACTCAGTCTGCCAGGCCTGCATGTTGGCCACCCGGGTTGTTGAAATGTTTTTTGACGTTACCCGTTTTTGTGTCGAGAAATTTCATCACCTTAAACCAAATTGGAATTAGCTAATGTTTGTCTTTGTCCTGGAAGACCCGGTGGCGCCTTATCAGTTTTTTTGGACAGTTTTATGTTTTATGTCCTCCATTTTTGTACTTTTAGATTCTGTCTGCAAACTGTTTTCTTCCAGTGTGCTTGCATGTTATTTTGACCACATTTTCGTTCGAACGGCAAAACACAAAAAGCACACACCTGGGTACCAAGCCATCATCATAGGTTTGAATTGCCTCAGTTGAGATGCAATATTATATTACATGCATTAAAGTAGTGCGCTGAAGCGGGCACTAAATGTATTTTCATATCTGTAATGGATGGGTGGATGTGTCTGAATATTTCATGTTCAGTTATTAAAGGTTTGATGTTTAAAAATCAAATGTTTTCTTTCCTTTCTTTAAGTTCAGTGACCTTCATGTTTTGAGGGTACCAACAATTTTGTCAGTGTTTGTACATTTAAGGTAGCTCACCTTGTCAAGCATGTGATCTCGCTCTTCTTCCACAGCAGAACACCATGCGGTCATCTCATTCTTTGTCTTTTGAGTCACCGTGACTACTGTCACGTGAGAGCTTGGAGCCTCGGGAAACAGGTCTTGGAGATCTGGAGAAAGAGGGATCACAAACAACAAAAACAAAATCATTAAAAAGGAGATGGCAGTCTTCTCTAAGCAGCATTATGGATTATTTTTGGTCGACAAAAAGAGCAGGCGGTGGGGAGCCTTCTTGCCTTTGGGACATTTGCTGCTGAACACACGTCAGATCCAGAGTTTGGTTTGCCGTAAAGGATGTGGAAGACATCTACAATATTGGCCTTCTGCTGTTTGGAGTTGGCACTTTCCTGATCTATCAGAAAAACTCAGCCGGCAGGAGCAGCTTTGCTCGAAGGGAACAAGCTGCAGGCCTTTCTGGATGGTGGAGGGCGGGTGGTCACCACTCTGACTCATGCGTTGACCAAACTCAATCGCAAAGTTGATGCGGTGTTGGAGTTGCTTTGCAAAGTGAAAAAGAACGAGGAGTATTTGGCCCGGCCTGGAATAAATTGAATGACCGATTGAGGATTCGGTTGGAGGAGGACCCCCCCCCGCTTCTTCACTATTGCTTTCTTTTCACATCTAAGATTTTGGGGGCTTAACAGCAAACCACGAGGCTTCCCCTTCTGTCTCCCCCTGTTGGTAATTGTTTTGTTGAGCTTCAACGTACGTTTCGGATGTGGTGTCAGTCAGTGAATTACCTTGTTTTAATTTTTCAGGGCATGACTGCATGACACACTCCACAGATGAGTTGTCAAAATCCTGGTTTGCTTGACTGGTATTGTGAGTCGTGGCTGCGTCATCCTGCACATTCATGAATGCAAACACACACACACAAAACAAAAGTGCTAAGGTTGACATTTTTCTTCATTGTAATTTTCTGTGATTTAAAATTTCAATTACAGGTGAATAATTCCACAACCTCACATATAGCACATTCAATTAAAATGGAATGTTGTTTCACACTAATTTTCGTGTGTGTGTGTGTGTGTATATATATATATATATTTTTTTTTTAACGACTGAATTGTTCTGGTCTTAATCAAAGTGCTGCGATACACTGGACTGTACTTACAAGTTCTTTGATAAGTAGTCCAGAAATACATCTCTCAGGACTTGATGGGGTATGCAGCAGTTCAGGGACCATCTTTTTTGTCAGTCTCATCTTTTGATCTGACGCCGGCAATTGACATTCAAATCCTACATTACCAGGCATAAAGTAGAGTTGGTCTTTGACATTAAACGGGCCCATGGTCTCATCATGCTGCAATCTAAGTGGTCCTGAAACAGAAAGCAACCGCGAGTGTACTTCAACAAACACTGTTCCTCGCAAACCACAGTGCTTTTTAATCCCGTCTAGAAATTTGGGTTGCTGTGCTGAACAAAAACCAGTTATCAGTAAAGCAGGTCCAGCGGCCTTTCCAATCTTTCACTATTTAAAATGTGAAAAAGAGAATGGCAAAAAAACATGCCCTACCATTTTTGGAAGTAGCGAGTGCTCCATGGGGATCACCAGAGCTGTAAGATCCAATAGTAGAGAAGCCCACGGTGCTGGCAATATGCTGCACCAGAGCATTAAGCCCAGGGAGGTAAGTCGCCAGCCTGGTTCTACCATACATCACCTGATGGAATAATCATACATACATGATGTTAGTTGCAAACAAACACAATGAAAACACACAGGGCCCTTTTAAAGGAAAGTGAGCATAACAGATTTATATCAGATAAGCAGGTCAAGCATGTGACTAAAGATGTAATCATTTCAACAGCACCTTTTTATAAACCACCACAATGGAATTGAAATAAGACGATAAAGATGTGAAGTTTTGGCTTGAAATCGGTTTCATTCAGGAAGTGATGAGAAGAGAGTAAAGTATAACCAGTTTACATCTCTGAATTCATCTTGTTACTTCTGCCAGACATCAATAAGAATTATACACTCCCCTCCATAAGTATCATGAGCCCAATACCATCATTTTCTCGGGCCTTCTTGCCTGTGTGGGTTTTCTCGGGTACTCCGGTTTTCTTCCCACATTCCAAAAACCTGCGTGGCAGGCTGAGTGAACACTTAAATTGTCCCTAGGTGTGAGTGTGAGCGCGGATGGTTGTTCGTCTCTGTGTGCCCTGCGATTTGCTGGCAACCGGTTCAGGGTGACCAATCCGTGTGGTGGTGCATAAAGGGAAAAGTTATAAAAACCTTTGCCATTGTCCAAACACTTCTGGGCCTAGCTGTACCTATGAAATGTTATGAATATGGTACATGCACTGAACTTACAGTCGCCATCGTCCTTTTGCAGTGTACCGTTGGGGTATCTGTGAGATGAGAGAAAATGACAGTAAAGAACCATTTCCAAGCATATCAAATGATCTGGTAGGAAGCACCTCGAAATAATGCCAGCACCCCTGTAAGTGACTTCTTGGTGATATTTGGAGAGACAAGAATATAATTTACTCATTTGCTGAAAGGAGTCAATATTTAAAAGCATAGGGATAGAAAGGAAAAATGGGCAGAACATATTGTGAAATTTCCATTTTAAACCCTGATACGATGACAAAGCAAAACCACATATTCAGGTATCAAAAGACCATTTTTAACACCAAAACTGCCTTTTTCTTGTCATTACTGAGCAAAAATATAGAAACAATAAATGGGTTTTATAATCATTATTTAGTACATGAGAAGAAATTGTAAACACGAGTAAAAGTCTCTCACTGTGCTTCCACCTGGTGACAGGTGTTTTTCAAAGGTGGGCTTCATATGGTGCCTACACAAAGAGCTCTAAACACACATGCACTAACATATATTTCCCATACACTTATTTGGCAATCTACTGAACTATAAAAGTAGTCAGCGGGAGGACGCTGGTGGCTGCCTGCAGCTGGTTTCACTCCTAAAAGGCCAAAATGATTTACTTTAAAGTTTAAAATGGCTGACCTTAACCAGAATCCTGCACTGCATTGTGGCCAAGGGTAAAAATCCAACCCAAGTAGCTCATAACAACTCCTGTCTTTAAAATGCCAGTCCTCGTCATCTTGTCATCCACCTCTTGATAACATTATCACATCACAAAATAATGTACAAATAACAATGCTATGTGATATTCACACGGCAGTGTTACTAAACCAGGGGTAGATAACTCCAGTTCCTCGAGAGCCATATCCTGCCTGTGTTGAACTGAGAGCCTGGTATGGATGACTTCGGCCGACTACAGGATCGAATCCGGGACATGCACAATGTGGCCAAAAATGCCTCTTGATGACACCGGGAGCCATAATAAGAGGGTGAACGACATCTGGTGTTGAAAAGTGAACTTCACAGTCTGTGTGAATGTGTAGATCGACAATTCAGGAAGGGGGAAGGACCTGTCCGATAAGATGATGAGCCATCACCCGTCCAAGTCCTTGACAAGTTGTTGATAACTCAAGTTCCGAGTGCAACTGTGAAAAATGAACCAGGTGGTGGTGGTCCTCCACAGAAATTGGCTGGCCCCATACAAACCCTTTGCATCACCGGAGAGGGAGTCCAGACGAGAGGACAAGTTCCTGGACACTGATCCATCACCAGAGGACACCGGAGAAGGCGTTACGACACCGGAAACTTCCCCATCACTTGTCGTACTTTGTCTTATCGAGTTACTGGCCCTCGCTACCTGCTACGTAAGAGTTGTGTAGCATTGCAGAAGTTGATGCAGATGATCCAGCATGCCTAGCTTGCTGCATTTGTAAATCCATCCATTATCTGAACCATTTACAAGTTCGTTGTAGCTATTTCCATGCTTTAGTCCACGATGGAGTCACACTCGGCCGCTCCAGGCTGAAGCCAATTAAAAAAATTAAACTAAACAAAAACCGTTTTCAATAATTTCTCAAGTGCCTTTGATTATTTCCTGCACGACTTATAAAAATAATAATTACTACATACAAGGGCTTTAACAATGAAGTGAAATGTTAAACCTTTCAAATGATACACAAATGAGAGGACAAGTGCTTACCAAAAAGTGGCGAAGTTGTACACGGCTTCCTTATGCCGTGTAAATCCAGTTCGCTGTTAAACTAATCGGCGTCCACTTAAAATAACGAACTTCCTTGATTTCTAAACGAAGACTACCTTGTTTTTTAATTTTGTTTTTATGCTCTCCAACGTCCTTTACCACCTTGGAATAGAAGACGTCATAATTTGCGGACCAGTTACTGTGATCGTGCGTGGCCAAGTTCCGGGCCTCATCTCATGTCTCTTACGAGTACTCAAACAAGTCTTTGGTTGTGTCTCAATTCAATGACTAATTCCTCTGTAGCGCCGGTGACCCGGTCGCGCTGCACGAAAGATAGGGTAAGACCAATTTCCTTATGTTAATATGCTGACATTTCTTGAACGTCGTATTTGTAGGGCCTCTTCTGATTCTCATTTTTTTTCCTATAGTCCGAGGAAAATGACCCGGAAGTACTTAGCGGACATGATCGTTCTCGTTCTACTACAGTAAAACTTCTCTCCAACGAAACCGACGTGTGCGAATACCCCCTTGTGTGAAAAAATCTTCATGCATTATAGCCATTCCCCCTTTTTTGCTTCCCCCTACAACGAAAAGTCCGCTTGTTGCGTAATACGAAATCCTTTTCTCCACCCTTGCATCTCAATGAGGTTCACTACAACGGCAACAAGCCTAGCGTAAAAGTCTAATCCAACCTCAGCCTGCCACAGCCAATGCTAATGCGTAGCTAGGAAATGGCAACAGCACCACACACTGGTTTACACATGCGCAGTAGTACAGGAAGTATTTGTTATTGTTAGCATGTGGCTAGAAATTTCCAGAGTAGTTTCAGACGGCTCGAACGTCGCATTGTTTGGTATAAAATGGCTCCAAAACGGACATTTGCAGACCAAGGCTCTTCACAAGGAGTTAAGAAAAGAAAAGCTTTAACACTTGAAGACAGGATAAAAGTAATAAGGATGAAAGACAGAGGAAGCAAAGTAAAAGACATTCTGCAAAAAATTGATGTAAGTGGAAGTGAATGCTGATCGCAAATTTCTTTCCCTTTTCTTCTTTCTATACTGGTAATATGAAGTATCTTTGGTATTAGTATTGTTTGATTTTAAAAAAATCATTGATTTAAATTCCAATGTAAATCAGCTAAAAATAAACAAATCAATACTTTTATTTTCCATCAATTATTTTTTCGCGAATCGATAGAAAATTCGAATGTTGCTTTACAAAATAACCAAAACATTTAACAGATTTGTGTGTATGTGTGTGTGTGTTTTAGTTTTGTATCATTAATTTATGAATTTGATGTTCATAAGGTATTTTAGACATTCACTGATATTCATTACTGCTTGATCCAGGTGCATTTTATAGAACTAAATTTTGAAATCAAATTATAGATGATGAAACTTCCTTTATTATAGATGATGAAACTTCCTTTTTTATATTTTAGGCTGGCCAGACCCAGATCTATGCCATCCTGAAGGACAGAGAAAACCTTCTGGAAATCTGGAATTCAGGAAAAATGAACAGGAAAAGGAAGATATTGACAGCAGGAAGGCAGAAGTATCCTGAAATAAACCGGGAGACTTGGGAGTGGTTTACCAAGAAAAGAGCAACCAACAATGTCATAACAGGCTCTATGATACAGGAGCAAGCTAGGATAATTGCTCTCAGGAAAGGCATCACACACTTTGAAGGATCAAATGGTTGGTTAAGAACATTCATTCAGCGTCATAGCATTAGTCGGGCTATTTTGACGTCTACCATCAAAAAATGTTTGAAGAAATGTGGCTTTTCTGGTGAAGCAAGCCAAGCAACACAAGAGGAAGAAGCTTTCCAGTTCTACAATGATGATCTGCAGAGCCTAAAAGAAGTAGCACCAGAGAGCACACTAGAAGACCTGCTGCAAATGGACAGTAACATTGCAACCCATAACCAGGAATGTGGAGAGACTGGTTTTGTCATTAAAGCGGAAGAAGAAGAGTGGGAGGATGCTGATGAAAAAACACCTGAACCCAGGTCTCTGAGAGACAGTCTCAGCAGTGTTACAGCACTCATTGAAGATGCTAAAGGCAGAAGAAACATGGAATGGCTGAGTACCGCACAAAAACTCAGAGACCTGATCCAAGAAGAACAAATGAAGTGTTGGGAAGCAAACGAGTATACATGACATTTTTGACATGACTTCACGTAGCACACAAAGTGAAGTAATTAATATACAAGAAATGTATGTTAATGTTAAGCTAAGTCAAATAAGTGTATGCTCATACTTATGCGCTATTGAAATAAAAATAAAGAGTACACATTTACGTTTTGTTTGTGTGTGTGTGTTTACGTCTGAGATCAAATTTGCGATAGTGAATGTGACGTCACTCAACAATGACGACCTCCATGGAGACACAGACCGTGAATGCCAATTTATTATGAATGAATATTTATATTATTACATTTAGTTAATTTGACATGACTTCATGTAGCACACCATGATTTGCACTGAGTGTGTGAATACATACATGCTGTTATCTCCTTGCATTAATTAAATTATTTGATGAACTGCATTGGAGATAGTATATTCCTTTATTTATATGAATAAAATTAATTATGAAGAAGGTTAGCTGAGGCTCAAAATGTGTTGTGACAAACCAGAACAACAAGCACTTTATCAGAATCAGCTATCTTTGTTGTTTAAATTCGCCTCCAATGCATTGAAGGTGGACTGGGACAATCCATGTGGAATATTTCCGATTTCCCACTTTCATCGAGTGCAGCATACGAATGCGTAGGAAAGGGTGCATGGATACAACCTTTAAATCTCCTTTCACATAGGTCACTCATCTCCCGAGGCCTCTTCGGATTCTTGTTTGCCTCAGTAATTTCCTTTCCGACCCTATCCAGATGAGATGAACTTGGAGGATAGCGTCATTCGAATTCTATAAATGCTTAGGAAAGGTGCCTGCTTGTAACCTTTAAGCCCCTGTTAATGTAGGTGACTCCTGACAACCTAGGATATTACCCACAATTCGGCAAGAACATTAAAGCAACAGGACACAAACGTAGTTCACGGACTACGTGAAAACGCTCATGTTTAACGTTTCAGACATTAAAATAATGTAAAAAAAACCCACATTTAATAATACAATTTTTTGTAATCAGTGGATAATCAATGAAGCCAAGGAATATACTGTACGGAGGAGGATGACATTAAAGTTCGAATTATGACTTTATTCTCAGAATTCTAACATTAAAGTCAGAACTCTGTCTTAATTGTCAAAATTCTGACTTTAATGTGAGTAATGTGTCAGAATTCTGAGATAAGTTAGAATTCTGAGACTAAAGTTAGAATTCTGAGACAAAAGTGAGAATCTTGCCAACCTTGGATTTTTTTTTCTTTATTGGCCCTAAATCTCTTCTGTACCCTTCTCTATTGTGTACACTTGGTTGTCTGTTGACTGTTGATTGCAATTTATTGTTTATATTTGTTCATATTTTATATGTCCTTTGTATACAACTTTCACTGACCTTATTTTTAGCTGTGTGTGTTTTTAATGCACTGGATATTTGCACTGTGGTTGAGAGGAAATACATTTCATCTATGCTGAATGTTGTACATAGAGCATATTTGACAATAAAGCTGGCTTTTGACTTTGACTTTTTGACTTTACAAAATCATACCTGTCAACTCATACGGTTTAGCCATATTTTATACGGATTTTGTGGTGACTCTTACGTATATGGCCATATCACACAAATCATACGGATTCTGAAAATTTCCGTTTTTTTTCCCCCTAACAGGTAGTTCCGTTTGCTTTTGTCCAGAATGGTGCTCGTCTACTCGAATGCTTTCATTTCCGGTAACGTTCCAGTAAATCACGTGGTTCCTAGTTGAAAACAGCAGAGTATTCATTGCATACTTCGGTAGTGTACAAGCAAGTTCTACAAGGAAACAAATATATCATTCATATTTCGTGGTTTTTTTTCCTGCCGTTATTTTGACATATAAAATGCTTTGTTATGTTATAAGGATAGGATTTTTTGCTTTTTATAAGGATTGTTTTGTTAGTTTATATGGGTTGGCGCTCCGAAAGGTTGACAGGTATGCAAAATAACCGAAAACAAGATACAGTAACATACATCCGTGCCCGTGATGGCAATGTGTGATGTCATCTGTCTGCGACGGAATGAAGGAACGTGCGCTTGAGCAGCACCGCTCCACGTGAATCAGTGTGAAAATGGCGGCCGTTCAAGATCCAGAGATTCAGTTGGCACAAAAGTTAGCCTCAAACGAAAAGCCTATTCGAACAAAAGCATTAAAAAAGCTGAAGAAGTATATAAATGTCAGATCACAGAAACCGACAGGTAAGTAACTCGCGTTTAGTGCTCTTATTTGCATTTATAAATGTGCTCGGAACATTCACAAATACGAATTAATAGCACTGCCTTCTGTTTGGAACGTTACATATCACTATATGGACACTTTCCTATGTCCAAGCTCAGTTTTTAATCAACAGGTTCCATCCTTCCAAACTAAACATAATGTTTTACAGTACGGTAAGTGGGTTCAAGATTTAAAAGGTAAGTTAGACTATCCACAATTAACATTGTATACATCAGCAACGTCTTGCTAACTAAAATGCTTATTGTTAAAAAAAAAAAAAGCCAAACGTGGCTTAATGTCAGGAAACTACGAGCAGTTATCAAAATTCACATGCACATTTCTGCCTATGCCCACGTGGATATCAAAAAATCGCTACAGTATCTTAGATTTTATGGACATTAATCTATCAGGAGGTTCACTGTATAGAAAAAGCTCAACGTGTCTTAATGTTCGAACACTACAGCCACCCAAATTTACACTTAAATCCATTTCAACCTCTGAAAATAAATAATAGCCACAGTGTTCAGGATTTTATGAACATTGAGCTTTTTCCTGCCCATAGGCGTTCCACTATAAGGCAAAAGCTTAACGCGGCTTGATGTTATAAATGTACAATCAATTTCTACCAAAATTCATGGGCACATCTCTTCCTATACCCACAGTGTCTGAAAATATAAAAAAAAATCAGACCGATATTTGAGATTTTATAGACATTAACGTCTTTTTCTCCATAGGTGTGAATTAAATTTAATGTTGCTTAATGAGGAAGGCGCTTAATGTCCGCATGCTGTCCTTAGTTACATCTGCTTTTCCTTTATATAAGCAGCTTGTCAGCACATCAGTCAGTCAAATGCAGTGCAGCCACTCCACATCATTCATAGAATTTGGAACTTGGTTCATACACAAAGTGCCCCACATTATTAGGCGTCCCTTCCATTTTGGAGTACGTGTAAGACTTTTGAATGTGCCTTGTAGTTGTGAAAATATGGTAACGTTGCAGACATCTACTTGAAGTTAGCACTACTTCAGGTTTGAAATTCTGATATCACTATCTGTTTTGACCAGTCTCAAATCCGTTACCGATACTGTGCATGAACATTCTGATTGGAAATTTTACCAGTGGTGAAAGAAGTCCAATTCAAGAGCCTCGATGTTATTTTTAAAAAATGCTTGCATTTTTTTCTGCCTCAGGTAACAGTTTAGTTGGTATGCACCATTTGAATAAGAATAAGAAAACCTTCAATCGTCTCACAATTACAGCAGCAAAATTATGAAAGGAAGAAAGTAGAAGAACAAAATATAGGAGCTGCTATAAAGGCTGCCACTCTCGCGGCGCCATCTTGAAGTCACAATAACAAAATAATACAACACAACACATAAGACACAGTCGTGTAATCTTAACCACTTTTGAAGCAGTCATAGATGAAAGATCAGCGAATCAAAGTGTCCTTTTCACCAGTGGATCAAAGACGACATGCTGAAAATGTGCACACGTCTGCTCCAAGCTAAGTTTTGAAAGCAAACAAGAAGCTGTAGCGTCTATTGATGAAAAAAGAGATTGGCTCACATCTCCTGTCCCATGTAAATCGGCTTCAATTCCAAGCCGCGACTCTTGGACTTGGAAGTCCAGTCAATCCAGCTGCCATAATTGTTCATACTTTGCATTATTACAGTAACACGCCATCAACCGGTTGCGAATGCCAACTTCAAAATCGACGGCTACCAATCAATAGCTGGACACTAGTTCGGCTTTTATTTTGAAATTGGCTTTTGCAGCACTTGGCGGCGTTACCATCATGCAGGATGAACAATCGTTGTGGAGGTTGGTTTGAGCTGTCTTTACCGATTGGAGGCTGACCTGATCCCAGGTTTATTGCCATTACCTACTGTTGCTGCCTTCGAAAACACTTGCAATTGTTCCCTGCTTAGTCGGATAGGGACTTTCGGGGCTTGCAGCGAGTGCCCTGTACAGACTAGCAACAAACTTCAGACTACTTTTCAAAGCCAGGTTAAAAGGTAAAAATGAATCAACACACATTTGATTCTGACAAACTAACACAGTCGTCATCCCTACTGATCCATTTTTACTCAAATGTCCCTTCTGGTTATAAGGTCTGTGTGTGAATATCTTATTTGTTTTAAAATGGAGCGCGGTGAGTTACTTTCTGTATGAAATGCACGATCTAACGAAAGTTGCCCATGTCCTTGCCTTGTCCAAAAACAGCTGATGTAATACTCGATTCACCAAGGTGCTCCTTTGGTTTTATGTTCTCTGTCCAGATGGCTTTACGAGTGAAGAAATGCTCAAGCTGTGGAAAGGTCTGTTCTACTGCTTGTGGATGCAGGACAAACCACTTTTACAGGTATTTCTTTCTTTCTTTCGTCGCGGCTTATGGAATGTTTTCAGGCTGAGCTGTGATTGGTCGCCAATCACTTCTTCGAGCTCTTCCCAAGGCGTTCCCAGGCTGTCCTGGTTCGCCCCCAGGAACTCCTACCTTTGGGACATGCCCGGAACACCTCACTAGGGAGGCGTCTAGGAGACGTATTTTGACGGACCGCTGGAGTCGCGGTGCAACCACTCAGTGACTGCAGACAGCGGCTGTCATGCGCAAAAACGTAATTTATGCCATTTGGGGGCGGGGTTGTTAGACTGGTCCTGAAATGGACCGGCCGTTCAGGAATCCCACAATATTCCCTATGTCCACCACGATCCTGCGTGTTGGGCTGAATTAATGGCACCCACTGCCATTTAGTTGCTAAATATATTGAGCCTTTCTTAGATTGTTTCACTTTGTATTAGCTGAACTTGAGGCGCAATGTTGTTCACAGGAGGAGCTTTCGAACTCTCTTTGCACACTGATTCACACCTTTCATGATATTGATGGACGTAAGTTGATCCTATGCTGGTGTAATTCCAAATACAAATTAAAATGTGAAAAGCCGGTGGTGAAAAGTATGTTGTTTTCCACAGAACTATTATATCTGGAGAGCTCCCTTAAGACCTTCAAAAGAGAGTGGACTGGCATTGACAGATTGCTCATGGACAAGTTTTTCCAGGTGTGTGTGTGTGTGCGTGTGTGTGCGTGTGTGTGTGTGTGTGCGTGCGTGCGTGTGTGTGTGTGTGTGCGCGCGCGTGCATATATCACTTTTCTCCCCCTTATGGTGGCCCTTCTTTTCGTATTACAGCTGATCCGCTTCATGTTCAGACAAAGCTTTGAGATGCTGAAGAGAAACAATTGGGATAGCAGGTAACCCGTTAAAACTGTCATGCGCAAATTGTACAGTGCGTCATAACATAGGTTAAATATTTTACATAATGTCTTTTTTTTTTTTTTCCCCCTAGTGTGGTTTCAAGATTTCTGGAGCTCTTTGCAACAGAGCTCCTGAACAGTGGCAACGGTGCACCCGCTGGTCTGCAGTTTCATATCTTGGACCTTTACTTGACAGAACTAGCAGCTGTGGGTGCATCAGAGGTAAAGTTATGATCCAGACGGGTCATTTGGGGTATGGAGCATCGACGGAGGTTGGGGTACTTGTCCGTATTTATTTTATTGATCCTGTTCAATGAATGCATTTCGCTTGACAAAAATAAACTGAACAGAATTTAGATATGAAATTTTGAAGTCTATCCACTCTAAATGCCAATATTATAGTTTCATTTGAGTGACACATCCGTTATAGAGGATTCTGCATCAAATTTTGAGGAAATATTAATAACTGATTGAAAAAAAAAATGTGATGGTCCTTTTCACATTTTTTTTCTCCATAGCTCACTGCTGACCAGAACCTGAGATTCATCGAGCCATTCTGCAAAACGGCAGCCAAAACCAAGGAGTAAGTCCAGTACTCTTAGCTTCCTTTTGTTTGATTTCATATCTGCAGGGAAGTATATTTTTTTAAATTACAAAGGATGAAAAATCTTCCACACCATTTTTGATGGTGTTGACTTAAAAATCAATAAAAAGGGGGGGAGAATCAGATTTCAGTACATTTTATACATTTCGTGTGTGTGTGTGTGTGTGTGTGTGTGTGTGTGTGTGTGTGTGTGTGTGTGTGTGTGTGTGTGTGTGCGCACGGTGATAATTTTACAGTTTAACCCCAGCGAGTCCCAGGGACTCGCTGATCAGAAAAGTATGAGTCCCATTATGCATTTAGAGAGTCCCAAATTTCGAATTCTGAAATGGTCTACTTATTCAATTGCATATGATAATAACACAAACAACAATGATATACATTGATAATAGGTTTATTTCTTCTAAACAAATGCTGCAAAAATGTTCATAATTTAGGCATACAAGATTTGCTGAAAAATAGGGTCTTATTTCATCCCATGGTTCAGTCTTAGAGTTCATAAATTCTCCTCTCTTTACTCTGCTTCAAACGATGCAGGCTTCCTCAAAGTCAACTTATCGCAAAAAACTATCCAACTTTAGCTGCTTCCTCTGTGATATCTCCGCAATAAACTTTCGCAACACTTGTTCGCAACACTTGTTTTAACGTTACACGACTTGGCAATCGTCTGCTTTCCGCGTCTTGCAAGAACGGAAATCTCGTCACGCGAGATTACTTAACGCGAGATCAAACCAACAATGGCGGCGATTGTCAAACTGCGATCCTTGTAGGAAAAAAAAAGATGTACCGTAGCAGGCCTGAGGATTTAGGAAATTCACGGTAACCGTTTTTCGATTCCGTCAGATTACCCAATGGGGAAACCACGGCAACTAATTTTGGGTTCCGTAAACGTTCATCACGGGAACCCATTTTTCTATTTTGACTGATATTCATAATCAAGAATTCTGATACTCAAAAGTATAATGTTTCAAGGGTAAATGTTTGAAAACTATGCATGAACAATGACCATTACATCAGCAGCTGTGTACTCCAGGATTATTCAACACAATAAATGGATCAAAATATGTTGTACTCATATGACATATAAATACAGCATACCACAAAATCTGAGTATTTTTTCCAGTCTCACACTGCAAAGATTAATTTACTGGTAATCATTAATTCAGATAAGTATTGATGTGGCTTGACATCCTCTTCCCAAGACGATGCATGTGTAATCTACTATCAATCTGACGAAAGAATCTACCACGCGTCATCGTTAGTTCTACCGACAGTTAACATTAGCATGACTACCCCTTATGACAAATGTTTTGTTCATAAAGTTACAATGCTACAACCAGTAAATGATAGAATAACCAAGACTGTTTCATAACATTTTTGTGAACGTCACACGCGTAAGCGTCACTTGCTCGTGTAAGGAACCCGAAAGGAGTCGAGTTGCGTATTCGGGTTTGCTCAGTTTGGTCTAAAACTGGTTTTCGGTCGTAAACTGAGGCGTAAAAATCTCGAATGTTCAGGTCGAAATCCGATTTGGTCGATAACAGAGACGTTCAAAAACTGAGGTTTGACTGTACTTCGGTCAGATTGAAGTTATTTCTGTGACCACTGAAGGTTTTTCTTTCATTAACAGAGGGGTAACAATAATTTTGCATATATGAAAACGTTTTGTCAGTATTGAATACCCCATAACCCAGAGGAAAATGTTTACTCCAAATGTGGTAGAATTATCGGGCCTTTCAATATTTTTTAATTGCAATGGGCGTAAAGTCTATTCATTTAAGTTACCTGACAATCATACAACTTTTTGCCTTAACACTGAATAAAGTCGTCAAAGCAAGACAACTCCAATTTGGATTTCAGTGTTCAAGAGGATTTGGCTGCCGTCCAATTCGTGTAATATTTCAGTCAACACATTCTTTATTGATCATACTAGTTTTAGGGGTGTCACTGTTGAATGGCTGCAAAATTCTGTCTTGATCTGAAGCTTCCTGCTTGCTTTGTAATATTTACCATCCACTGATCTACCATTCTGTTTAATTGACCGTCTCACCAGTCGGACACTTTTCGGAGCGATCTGCAACAGCATCTTCAACACAATTATTGACCAGGCTCCCTATGCCATTGAGGATCTGATGAAGGAGCTGAAAGCAGCAGAGTCCTCCGATTCAGGCCAGTCCTCTGAAGGGGATGATGAAGAGGACCTCGTCAAGCAGATTAACGGTACGACATTTTCACAGGAAGCATGGCACATTCCTATACAGCCGTGTTTTTTTTTTTTTTTTTTTGCGCACTACGGACTGGTTCATACAAGTACATTCTTCTCGCGGCTCGGCAACCATTTGCCACTAGGAGTGGGCGTCACCTGTGGGAACATCTGAAATCATAAAGAATTTGTACTGACAAATAAGGTAGCTAGAGAGTACCTCAACATTTTCTTTCCATCACAATTACTCAGGGCACGGGCAGCGACCAATCATGGCTCGCCCGATTCCTGAGTTTGGCCATGTGACATTCGCCCATTGTGCCACGATTGGATGTTACCTGAGCCATGAGCAACTGTGATGTTTTTTTCAGTCGACAGCAAGTGGCAAAATGGCTGTCCCCCGAGATGGCTAAAAATGGGAGGAGTTTGTTGTTTAATTTTTCCACAAACACAATATTAATCATAATACCATGTTTAGACGAATGAGGCCGCATAATGCGTATTGTTTTAAAGAACATTTTGGAGTTGATTTTCCTTTTAAAGTGTCAACGTAATGATTTTTAAGTTAGCGCTTTGCAAAAAGGATGGACGGATGAATCCACATTGTTTGCTACTTTGTTTGGTGGCTACATTGCTAGGTCGTAGCGGCTAAACTGCTCATGTTTAGGTGGGCAGCATGTGCAAATCCGCTGGCATTTACATGCTTTCCACATCATCACTTCAGTGATACTTGTTCAGCTGATTCAATGGGATTGTCGTCATGCCCGTTTTTGAGAATGTACCTTGCACATGGCCAACAGCCGGCTTGATTTATTCCGTCGCTTTGGAGAAAGCGCCACACAAGCGATCATTCGGCTCAGTACCAAAAGGCCCACGGGCAGGTGCTTGGGACCACTGCTATATAGTACGCAACATGAAGTGCAATCTGACAAAAAAAAAAAAAATTCTTCCGAAAGCTTTTGAGTTTCCTTTCAGAATCACTATTTTCTGTAGCACACAACAACCTGTTTGTAAGTTATTGATTGCAATTTCGATTTTTTCATTGTACACACAGAAAAATGCTATAGTGTTTTAAAAGTAACTCCATGAATGTTACATATTATTGGAAATAAAGAAATGACTGAATTTAATTGATTTAAAAACCATCATTTTATTTGGGAGTGTACGCATTGGTGTTGAGCTAAATTGTTCAGAGATGAAAGTCCTCCGGAATTCCGGGTTTTTCAAATTTTTATGAAAATCTCTCCGGAGAATTGAGGAAAAATTGCCTAAAATTAATCCGGATATTAGTTGACAACATTGAACGAAGACGCGTTTGAGTTTGTTGTTTTGCTTTCACGAGCGTAGCCATGTTGATACACTAACACTAGTAACTAGAGAGATTTTCGTCTCTTTATAAACACACTTGCTAAACCCCAGTGGAACGAATAAAAGACACCGTGGACAAGACAGTTGTCGTAAAAAATATATTTGGACAAAAAGGGAAACACACAGATTGGCAGAAAAACGTGTCCGTCTGACTTCGAGTGTCGTCTCGGCTAACTTAGCTGTTGTTGTGTGTTGCGCCGGCGCTTATTGGTTGAAATCAAAAGATGCGCTTGCGTACATGTTCGCGCTGACGCACGCAGTAGAGAGCAGCGGACTAGCTCGAGTGGCGTCGCCACAACAGTAATACCCTCGCCTCGCATTCTCATGGCCTCGCCATATCTCTGAGATTTCGAAATATCGGTGAGAACGGAAGCCACAAAGGGTGCATGAGCCCGATCACTGAACTTGATTTGCAGGCCCGAGCCCGAAGCAAACCCGAGATTTCATATTTTGTTTGTGAGGACTCCGGAGGAGGAGTGGTGATTTCTGATAACAAGGCCTGTCTTTTGGAACAAAATCTAAGTTAAAAAAGACTGGATAAACATTTACATCTTTTATATTTCTGTTCCTAAAGAGGTTACATTAGCGGACAATTTTCCATCATTGACTGATTTTTTTTAAGAA